TATCCGAGTATAATACTACCCCCCAACTTTATGGATGATTTTATGGAATAAATTTTACGTATTATACTTCAATAAATACTGTATTTGTGACAGAGCTTTTAAATAAGATCTGCACTTCCACTGGACTTTCATCCTTTTCTTTCTCCTCTGGGTCAGACTCTGGCTCCAACATGTAAGGCCGGATGGACAAGTCTTCCCTTGTTGGCGTCTTTTAATTAGTTTGTAAATAAAATGTTTCTGTGCTGCTATAGTCAAAAACTCCTCTGGAGCGGACCGGTCTGGAAGCTGGGGGGGCTTGAAGCACTTAGTTTGGTTTTAAAGAGACAAACTCAAAATGAGTTGATCTGAAGCACATCCTCAGAAAAGGGGGTGAAGAGGGGGCTGAAATTAAACCAAAGCATTGAAGTTACACCTTATAAAGACCCCAACTGAAGGATTTAAATGTGAAAAAGAAGGATTTTTAACATGATGTGTCTGCTTTAATGGCTTTCAGCTTTTTCTCTACCAGGTGTTTTTAAGCCTCTAAGAGCTGAGGTGTTACCACTTGACTGGAATATTCCAGTGTTTTTGTTTCATTTCCTTTCATGTTGCTCTAATGGGACATTTCAGCTCTCAGACTGACCTGGGGAAGTTGTCAACGGGCACCCAGTCTTTGGCATCGGGGAAACAAAACTGAGGGATGACCTTCAGCTGATCTTCAGTCTCCCGCATGAACTTAAAGCTCCTCTCAAGCTGGACGACAGAAAAGGAACAGAAAACTGTAACGTCTCATTCGAAACTGAGAATTTGGCACTGCCAGAAGGTTTATAACGGTCAATTCTCACACAAACGTATTTCTAAAAAGAAATGATTGAAAATAAGTGAGTCATTAGGCTATTTAGTACGCAACTCATATTCAATTCAAATAGAAAGTGGACACATGAAGAAAAAGGGATTAAACAACTACTCATGAAAAATAGCGATATTCCTATCATTTAATCTGAATTTTAGATGTGAATCAACCATTTTAATGCTCACTTGTGACAAAGATTATATCATTTAAATGACCTCACTGAGCTGTACCAAAAAATCTAACAAGTCCAAAGGGATTTTTGGATTTTATTTTATTATAAATCTTGGTTTAATTTTTATTGCATTTACATCATAACTAAATTAAATACACTTACATTTTAAAAGTAAAACTC